ACTCTAGCCCAATAATGTTGGGGGATCCAGTGGGGTCGGCAGTCATATTTCAGGGTGACCGTGCCACTCTTTATCACAACCCTGCTAAAAGTGCCAGTACGTGCGCTCATTGGCGCCCCTTCAGCTGGTGGCGCCCTAGGCGACCGCCTAGCTCGCCTATGTCTAGAAACGGCCCTGCTTCCAACATCAGTGTAATACCAATAATGTGACAAAAGTAAATTATGCTAGATAGTCAATGCCACTATTTAATTTAAAATGCCACTATCCCTCTCCCTCTCTCTCTCTCTCTCTCTCTCTCTCTATTTATTAGTATATATATTTGTGAAATTTTATGCTTAGGCTATATGCTTGGAATAACATACATCCATAAAGTGGTCCGAAAAAAAGTATAATAGGTTGGAGATCCAACTGGAGGCGCTGAAGTACACGTGCTAAATAGTGAAGTGATGTTCAATGTTGAATGCTTATCGTTCCATATTGCATTTAGTTCCATCATGTAGTAATTGTAAAACGCACTGGCAGTGAGCAGTGAGACGACAGTACGCTGCTGCTGTAGACGCCGGTCCTGTAGGCGGCGCTCTCATCTGAAACAGAGCAGTAAAGATCCGTGGAGAGGGAGAGAGAGCGAGAGCGCTGAGTGAGAGTCGTGTTTTGTGGGGGCGCGGTTGGCGACACTGGGTTGCCAAGTCAGCATTGAGAAAAGAAGAGATTGACATAGAAATTCCTTTAAGTAAAACAGAAGTAAAAGGTATTATTAAAACAGCAGTTGGAAGTATGTGGCAAGACGTATGGAATAAAGAGTCAAAAGGGAGACACTTATTTAGTATTCAACAGAAAGTGGGGATTGAAAGAAAGGTATATGGAAACAGAAGAGAAGATACTGTTATAACCAGGATCCGTATAGGACACTCTAACCTTAATTATTCATTGCATATAATAGGAAAAAGTGAGTCAGATAGTTGCAGTTACTGTGGAATAACAGAAACAGTTGAATGTGCTCTTACATTGTGAGGCATATAATAGACAAAGAAAGCAACTTGTTGAAAAACTAAGAGATATGGAAATCAATGACATTTCAGTTATGAATATATTTCAGAATGCACAGAAACATTTAAGGGTTTATGGTTTTCTTCTAAAATATCTGAGAGATACAGATTTGATTAGAAGAATTTAGTTTTTTTTTTGTAGTACATTATATATTCGTTCATCGAGGCCTCACACTCCATCCCAGTAGGTGGCGGAAATGCACCTTAAGCTGGTTTGCCAACTGCCATTAAACACAAAAGAAGAAGAAGAAGAAGAGCGAGAGCGCTGGAAGCGGAAGGAGATGTCGATCCCCAAGGTGGTTGGCAACAGCTGGACTGAGTTTCTAATTTTGTTTCCAGTTTTATTCACAACTCTATACTTCCACATTTAAGCCACAAGTTTCTGATAGCTTTTTTGAGAGGGTTCAGGCATTCACACCCATTATAAGTGATGATAATATGTCTTCTCGTGAGATGGATTTGTCGTCGGAAGAGTTGGATGTTATTATTCATAAATCCCCCCTTAATA